TGTGATAGACCTTCACATTTGCTCACCAACCTACCCAGAGCTTATAGTTATGCAGAATGCATTCATGGTAAGTTCTCCACACAATATTTTAATATCTTTTATATTTTTCTATGCTTATATATGTTTATATACAGTTGCCATTGTGTTGCAATTGCTTGTAATATTCAGCATGGTAACATTCTATACAGGCTTTGTAATAGGATACACCATATAGCTTATGTGTATAGTAGACTATTCCATCTAGTTTTGTATAGGTACACTCTATGATGTTCATAAATGAAATCACCTACCCACACATTTCTCAGAATATGTACCTGTTATTAAGCAATGAATGACTATATTTGCTTTGAGCCCACTGTGTAATGAGTATTGTCTTTTGTCTTTCTATGTACAAGCAAGTATTCCTTTCATTTCTTCTTACTTGTCCAGCTTTGTGAAACTTATGAAACTATTTAATACCAAATAAGTGAGTATTTAAAAATTGTCAGTGTGGTGATTTAGAACATCAGGTATTAGGTGTACTTCCAGGACATTAATACAAATTTGCTTTCATTTGTTTGAGAATAGATAAATTATTGAATGAACATTTATTAAGCACTGTTCCCTGTATCAGACACGTTTCCTTTTCTGTTTTCTTCTCTGGGCCACCTTGTTTTCAGTTACTTTAATCTCCTTGGATAGCTCTCTAAAATTTTGAAACATTTTCTTTTAAACTAATTTCTAGAAAGAGAAATTAGTTAAGGAAAAGGCGATTCTTTTGGCCCACTATGTTATGTGTATTGTGTTTTGTCTTTCTGTGGTGTACAAGCAAATATTCCTTTCTTCTTACTTGTCCAGCTTTGCAAAACTTAAGTGCAGTGCAGTGCAGATTTATTATTATTGAAGACCTTGATGAACCAGTTTGAACTTTTTGTTCTATGTATGTTTTTTCCTTAATCTAATTGTTTTCCTTTAATTATGACTGTGTAACTCCAATATGTATTTGAAACTTTTAAGAAAGTTTTTATTTCTTGTAATAACTTGCTACTAGCTTTACATTGTAGTGAGCCTTAAAATATGAGTTTTGTGCTTAAATTTGATGCTGTTTTGCTATAGCAAGAAGGCCAGATTATTAGGTGTTTTGTTAATAGAGGAGAGTATTTTTGCTCCTGCATTTACAAATATTTCTGAAGCATTCAATTTTAGAGAGCTTTTCTTGTCATGATATAGTCATTACCATTATGGTTTTTTTTTTTTTTTTTTTTTTTTGTGGAACCGGGGATTGAACTCAGGCCTTTGTGCTTGCCAGGCAGTGCTTATTCCACTGAGCCATCTCCCTGGCCCACCATTGTGTTTTAAAACACCTTTAAATTTTTATTTACTATTAAAATGATTTAAAAAGTTAAAGAATTTCATAGTATCTACCTGTGTCTTAGGGAGGCTTAAAAAATGTTATGTTATCATATATCAGTCATTTTAGAAATTGTTACTCTTGAGGAAAAAAAATATTTCTTTATTTCTCCTAAGTTATCATTTGGTATCTTTTCCCATCATGTGATTACTCTTTAGAGAGTGGTTTTTCAAATAACACATTTTCCTGGCATTCTCCTTTACCATTTCCTATATTCCCCACCCTGTCTTTAAGAATGTGACCTTTTTTTAATATGAGAAAAGTTATTTTTATTACACACAAATCTGCTTGGTAAATAACACTCAACTGTTCAATCTAAAAATTCAAAGGAACATCATATATTTTTAAAAAGTAGTGAAGCCAAAAGAATACAGACTTGAATCTTGGAGACATTTTTTTTTCAGTGATTCTAAATTAGATTGAACACTCACAAACATTGAATGTCTACTGTTAGCCCAATCTGTATCTATTTTTTCTTGAGACAGGGTCTTGCTATGTAGCATAGCCTGGCATCAAACTCTAATTCACTTATATAACCCAGGCTATCCTGCAACTCAGGGTGATCCACTTATCTCACTTCCTGAGTGCTGGGCAACCGTTATCATTTAAAAATAAATTTAATTTATTTTATTTTTTTGGCTAGCTCAAGCTGCCTTAAGGGCGGGTCTGGTGTGGCTTGTGGAGCTGGGGATCGAACCACAGTCCCATGTGCCTGAGTTTGCCCAAGCAAGCACTTTAAACATCTGAGCTAACCTGCAAGCCCCCTTCAAATTATTTTTTTAAATTTTTTTTGCGGTACCGGGGATTGAGCTCAGGACCCCGCGCTTGCCAGGCAACCCTAAAATTAATTTTATTGGTGTACTTCAAATGTACATAATGATCACACTCATAACAAGGAGTTTGTACCTTTACATTAGTGTATCTTGATTCTTTATTCTGCAATCATATCTCCTCCCTTCAACCCCCCTGCTCCATTATTTATAAAAGCTTTGTTTCCATTTTAAAAATTAATTTTAGATGTACATAATTTCATAGGGAATTTGTACCTGTATATAATATATCTTGATTCCTTCTTTCTCCCCAGTCCTGTCTCCTCCCTTCAAGCTGTCTTTCCCTACTGATTTATAGAAGTTTTGTTTCCATTCTTTACCTTCTCTTTTTTCCCCTCCTTCCTTTTCCCCTCTCCTTTGTTATCCTTCCTATTTGAACTTTTTCTATTTCCCAATATCTGTTATACCTTTTGGTCCTTACTTACCCTTTCAGTTACTCACACCAGAAAAACAATGTGATATTTAAATGTGTATGTCTGATTTATTTCACTTAAGAATATGGTCTTAAGGTTGATCTATTTACCCAGAAATGACTCATGTTTATAGTTCTTTATGGCAGAATGGTATTCCACTGTATAAAAAAGCATGTCTTGTTTATCTTGTCATCTGTTGATGAGCATTTGGGCTATTAAAAATTGTGCTGCTATATACATGCACATGTATGTGTCACTGTGGTATGATGCTTCTAATTATTTCGGGAAGATACCAACAAGGAGAAAGAATGTGGTCTTAATTAGAGTATCTGAACTCTACTATCTCTATACCCTGTTAAATCAGGGTAAAAATGAATGTTTAATAAAAATGTAACTCTAATTCAAGTCAGTAACTCTTTTCCAGCTTTAGATAACCTTTTTGTTTTTCAGGATTCCCCATGGTAACTTGGAAATATAGGATGAGACACAACAAACATACTAAATATGTAAAAAAAGTAAAATAAACATTTTCATGGAAAGACATACAATGTGTGTGAGTTTACATGTGTATATGAATGGATCTGTTAGCTAATACTACCAAAAGTGTTAAAACAGTAGCTGTGAGTGGGTAGAATCATCCATAATTTTTTGTTTTCTTTTTGCTTGCTGGTATGTTTTCCAGTTCACACATAATAACAGAAACATAAAATCATTTCAAAGTCAGAAAAGTTACACACCTCAAGTAGATTTGCATAGCAAAAAATAAGATTGTCAAATATATAAGAAAACAAGAACCGTATGTAATATAGCATAGAGTATAAAAATATGTTATATGTTGTGGCTATCACCATGGGGCTCAACAAATTGTATAGTATCTTAGTTTATTCCACAGAGTAACAGAAATAAAACTGTTCATATTGTACTAAAAACAAGACCACTGTCCCAGGCTGCTTTTTATACATAAGATGGCAAAAAGTATAGAAAGTGGAAGTATAGTGCTTAATATTTTATAACACACACACACACACACACACACACACACACACACACGCTCTCAGAACTAGTAACACATTTTGGGAGAAATAAGGCAGTTATCTTAAAATTCACTGTTTCCATCCAACTATTACAAAAATAAGTGTAACTTAATACATTATAACACAAATTTGGGCATTACAACTACTCTATTTCATAAATTGTCTTATTTTTCTTGATGGAATAATGGAAAAATGCCATTTCCTCATATCTTTAGAAGCACCCCTTCCTATAAAAACCTAAAACACTCCAGAATTTTTCAACAAGGACATAGAAAAGTTAGGACTAAGAGCAAGAAAATTATTCTAGTTGGCTTAATAGTGCGTAAAATGTCACCACTTCATTTAACAAAATGAGTTCTACAGTTGTGTAATCATGCATTATTAGTCCATTAAACTATAAGGGACATGACTTTGGCTATAGTTTAGGTAAGGTATGAAGTGTAAAAAAATTATTTTTAAAAATGTGGACACAATATTAAAGAGACATTTCAAAAGCTCAGGTACATTTTTAAAGAATTTTAAACCAAGATAGTCTTTCTTTTTCAACAGTAAAATAAAATTGGTGACAACACTAACAATGACCATAATCTTTTATTTTCATTTTCAATGACTTTTGCAGAAAATGTGTTACTATTTTCAGTTGTTTGAATGGCAGCTATTTTTTCTTTCACCAGCTATAATAATATAGTAGTTTTGAAATATATATGTAAAGACCTTTTCATTTTGCTTTTAGAAAGTATGATTTAATTCTTAACATTCTGCCTCTAAAACAACACAAAATAAAAAAAAAAACTTTAATGGGAATGTTGCCTAAGGAACATGGGAAAACAAAAATGTGACCTGGGTTTAAGTCAGATTAAGCATGGCTGGAAAATTGCATTTTTGCTCACACTTTTAATAACCATGTCTCTGTTCAACATTGTTAACATCAAGATCCCTACTTTCCTAAGCACAGTAACTCTGTTTTGCTGTGTGTTTCAATTTAACTCTAAAATTAACTACAAAGGTGGCAACAGAAGTATTTTTCAAGTTTTATGTGTAATTTTATAGTTTAATGGACAAAATAATGTGTTTCCTTACCACTAGTGAATAAGTTTTTAGCAGTATGAATGTTACTGTAACGGAAAGGGAAAATGTACAAGTAATGAGTAATTTTTAAAAGCGTGCATAAATTTCATTTTCTCTGAAATATCTTGAGTTTGAAAACATTGGCTTTAGATTCAGAATAAAAGATATAATATTTTCTTGTATTTCTCAGGTATTTGTATAATTCAACAAAACTAATGTGTGGTTAAAGTTGAAATGACATTTTACTTGTTTTCTCTTTCAACAGTTAAGAGATGTTGATACTCGGAAAATTATAAAAGCAATGCTTTCATATGTATGGCCCCAAGACAGGCCAGATCTACGAGCTAGAGTTGCCATTTCCTTGGGATTTTTGGGTGGTGCAAAGGTAAGTATAAGAGAAATCATGCATTATTTAATGCTATGCCTAATATATAAGAATTGTACTATTGTATAGGAAATGCTATGACATTTTCTAGTTACACGCCTTCAACTAAATATGAGCCACTTTTGGAAGAACATGGCCAACATTTAAAACCTTCATTTAATTTATGTAATTATTTTATGTTATGAGTATAAATTATTTGATAATATTTGTTCTGTCTCTGGATCAAATGTCTAACTTCCTTCTCCAATTCAACTTGGTAGAATTTATTCCTAAAAGCAGTATAAAAGACAAGCTTATTAGTTATAACAGATATAAAAGTCATTACAAAAGAAGTTCTTCAAAGCCTTTTATATAATGCATATTTTCTGATAAGTATGCTCCAGTTTCCAGTAAATTGAAAAGATGATGAAGTCATGAGGTAGATCATTAGCCATACATGGTAAATAATAGTTTAATATCAATAAGAAGAAAAGAAAAACTGGAAAAAGACTTAAATTCTGGATAAATTCAAAACAAGGTCTCTCTGTTTCAGTCACCTCTTCAGTTTTATCCTTTTCCTATAGCACAAAATTATATTGACATCAAATATTTAGGACATTTATTTTCGATTTATGCACATTTCAAAGTCATGGAAGTATACATATAAAGATACGGTGTGTTGAGATGATGGTGAACATCCTCTCTGGAATCAGACTGCCTAGTTTTTGCCACTTACTAACTTGTAACCTTAGACAAGCTGCTTAGTTTCCGTGCCTCAGTTGTAAAGTAAGTTTGTGACAAGGATTAAATTAACATACATAGTAGTCTCTCACTATTTCATGGTTCGATTTTCATAGACTCATTGTTTCATGGGTTTTCAAAACATATTAATCTAAATTACTTATTGCAGTTTTTGTTATGTCACGGGATTTTGCAGTACTGTACAGTATACATATGTTGTTAAAATTATGGAGGTTTACAAGTTCAGAAAATGGTTAAGAACATTAGAAGTGTCTCTCTCTCTTTTTTTTTTTTTTCGTGGTACCAGGGATTGGACTCAGGACTCTATGCTTGCCAGACAAGCACAGAAGTGTTTTTAAAAGTATAGGAGGGTGGTGAGATGGCTCAACACCTACTTAGAACAAGCTTAGCAAAGCACAGGGACCGCAGTTCAATCCCCAGCACCACATGCCAGCCAGCCCTGCCCCCAGGTGGGCTGAGCTGGCCCCCCACACACAAAAATAAATAAATAAA